TCTGAGCGGAGCAGTGAATGTAGTGATTTTACAATGCTGTGTGTCTGCTTTTTTAAATGTATTTATTCACGATTAATTGTAGAAATAAAGCTTTGATTTTCAACTTTATTACCTATGTCTTATGTTAAAAATGTGAATCTTGTGGTACTTTGGAAGGTCAAAATAAAAATTTCAACGAAATTGATTTTCTAATTTTGCTATAATTCAAAAACGAATAACTGTATAAAGTATACAGGACGATTCACCAAGCATGCTCAGCCTTTTTTCTTCAATAATGTAGTTATTCAATATCTGATATTTGGAATCTTTAAATATACTTTAAGACCATATTTTCATATTCTCTAGAATTTTTGTACTACCTAAAGGTCCTAAAGAGTGTTCCTTAGAGATATAAATTTCTGTTTTTCAAATTAGAACACCCCTCACCAAGGGCGTCGGCAGGAATTTGTCAAGGGGAGGGCAAAATATTTTGCATTTTAATTTTTTAAATCTTATTATTGATACAGTATTATTTGCGACATATTTTCTTCCATATAGGCAGGGAATGTAAAAATTATTTATGAATTATACGTGGATAGTTAGTTAAACCCTAATCTTACAGCATTCATTTTAATTAAATATTATGTAATTTTAAATTAGCAAATATACCTATTTTTTTAAATAAATAAAATGTTCCCATTAATTTGATAATGTTAGGTAAATTTTACCAAGAGGATTTCGATGCACTTCGTATTGTTTTCCGAATCTATAGCTACGCGATACTCGTTTTAAAACATACACAAATAGAATAAGAAGTTTTTATTTTGCATTTCTTTACGGTTTTAAATTTTAAGGTCATTTTTTGCATTTTAGGATTTTTGGAGGATTTTTGGAGTATTTTGAAGTTTTTTTTTTTAATTTAAATTTTACACTTTGTTTTAATATTTGCACAATATGCTTTTACATGATTTTTATAATAAATATTTGATCTAAACCTATATAAAAAAGAATAATTAATTTTCAGATTAAAGAAGTCCAAAACGATCAGTTCTGTCTGTAAAACATTTTACAATCCTTTAAAAGTTTAAAATGTACACCTACTATAATTTATACCAAATTTATATTAGAATTAATTAAATCTTTTATATTAAAAATAAAAATAAGTTAGTGCACTATTTTGAAATGATTAAGGCTTTTTTAAAGTTTTTTTTGGACATTTAAACCATCAATAATGATTAGGATAATTGGCACAGAAAAGCCGAGGGGAGTGCAACTGCCCCTACTCCCCCCCCCCTGCGGAAGCCATTGCCCCTCACCCTTTTTTAATTGTAAATTATACAGTGGATTTTTTTCTGAAAATGTTGACGTATTAGAATCTAAATTCGTAAAAGTAGTTTTTGATTTATTTGACTTTGTGTTCTAAAGATCAAACTCTAATGGGCTTATAAATATGGTGATTATGGTGATTTGACAATTTTAGTCATTAATATTAATAATCCATCAATATAAATAATTTGTAAGATTGGCCAAAGTATAGTAAATACTAGATCCAATTTCACGTCTATTTTATATTTTTGTAAAATGTTTTGGTTCATAAACAAATTGTCGCCGACCAGTTATTGTAGTTACCGATGATTGATATAAATAAATTACACAACTACACATCCATTAATTTTCGGGCCTGCTCAAATTTAACGTATTCGAAACAGTGATTTTCTGCATGGCTCCAAAATATGACAAGACATGAGGTACACTCGACACTTACTGTATACAGCAGAGTGGTTTACTACTTTCCCCTTTTTTATTTTTAAAGTAGAATTTATTCTTGGAAAATATCATCTTTGCGCAATCACTATAACTACGATGAGTTTTCTTTAACAAGTTTTGTAAATAATTATTGTCATCATCTAAGTTAGACATTGTTTTTTTTTAGTATATTTTGTTTGTGAAATCTTTAGATAACTTTTCTTTCATGACATCCATCCTTCTTTTCACACTGACGAACGAAAGTAATTATGTTCGTCTAGTTCTAGAACGTTATATATAGGTACTCTTTACTCTTAGATCTTATACATGATTGCAGTTTTCTTAAACGTCAGAGAATTCTAAAATGCCTTTGAGAAAATTCTTAAAACATTGACTACAGACAAGTATTCATTAGAACTTACTTTTATCTTTATTTTTTTGTAAAAAATAAAAAATATACACAAAAACTTTGTGTCTGTATGATGATTTTAATTAAAAGTTACAACTATATCAGTATTGTAATATTCAGGCAGTAATAATAACTCTAATAACAGTTCATTTTCAATACCTATATTAACGTATATTTATTCATAACTATTTATAATGATACGAACTTGTATCGGAGATCGGACTACATATACCTAGTATATTTGTATATTATATAGGATGACTTAGATACATTATCATAGACAACACGAATGTTATAAACTTATAAAAATACAAAACATTTTATTTATATTATAATATGGCGCTTATTTTTTACAGCAGTTTTTAGCCTTTAATCATTTTTTTAATAGTAAGACTCTTTTTCTGAAAAAAGGAATGTATCAAAAATATTTTTTTTCTATCACGAAACATTGTTTTAATAAAAAAATATGTAAAAAAAATAAAAACAGCCATATCAAATTCTGAATGAATAATGCTAAACACTTTTTTAATATTTAGTAATAAAACCAAGACTTTTTTATTGTATTTACTTAATAACTTTAAACATTATTAGCAGAATAATATAATATGCTAATAAAAACATTTACATGGACTTGATCTCATATGTAGGTTAACCTACCAACTAAATACGTTGAAACATTATTATTTTTAAATTATTTTAGGAATGACTTCTAGATGTTCGCGATAATTAAATCAATGTAACATTACAGAATCAGGTAAATTTTAATTTGACGATTGATTTTTAAATAAATTAACACAGTTTGGTGCTTTTTAGACTGTTTCTTGTCTCTAGAAACTATTTTTTTCACAGTATTAAATTTCTTTTTAACTCCTCAACTATACTCTATGAACCACGCAAGTAGTTGTATGAATTATTTTGGAATAGAGTATACCTAATGATTTTTATGCATTATCTACTTTTATAGGTGCGTGATCAAAACGGAGAATTGGATTTATAAAATACAAAACACTGTCGTCTTAAACACCTTTTTTTATAATTTTCAAATCATTTACTAATGGCTGAATAATTTGCTTATTAAAACAGTTCTCTATGTGGCAAATATTGTTCACCTGGATAATAAACCACAAGAGTACTTATAAAAATATGACTGCGGTGTCTTCTCTTTTAGAATAATGGAGCATACTAAAAAAATATCGTGAATACTGACCCACAATTTGAAGTTCGCGTGTCAAAAAAACACTACGCACGAGTGTAAAACATTAAAAAATTGAAAGAGTTTGTTTAATATTATACTCAAAGACACTTTCAAATGAGTAATTTCCCATTTTCAATAGACAAACCGAAAAAACGCTATAACGCCTGAAAACCTTCAAACTATGTATACACACGTACGCAGTACGCGTGCTAGCTAGTGTGCTACAATGAAAAAGAAAAACGAAAAAGAGATTTTTTAGATGATATTAAACATTTTTTTTTCTCTTTGATTTATTTTTTTTTTTAAATTGCACATGTATATACGCGCCTATCATATTATAGGCATGTGTTATAGCGACTATCCCCATACTCGGTCCATTGTCATATTAATAAACTATATAGGTATTATTATTAGGGCTGTACATTTAATGCACTAAAGAACCTTAAAAACTGCATTAAAAATGTCAAAAAAATGCAGTAAAATATGCACTTAAAATGCAAAAAATACAATATAAAATACCAAAAATTATAGTATAAAATTAATTGTAAATGATTTTTAGTTAAATTTATACATTTATATTAATATTAGGTACAGGATATTATACATAAGTACATTACATGCATAAGAAAGTGTTTATTTAATAAAAAAAATGTTGATTGAATTAAAATTTCCTTTACTTAATGCTGTTCACCTGAAACATTTTTTAAAAATTTTAGAAATAAATAGCTTACAAATAACTTATGTAGTTATCTAGCAATTGCCTTATTTTATCGACGTATATACAGCCTGTGTACAAAACAAATCTTTTGTTTTGAAACATTTTATTGATAGGATTTGATTAAAACGACTGGAAAATTAACTTAGGAAAACGAAAATATGACCTAAAAAGTAAAAATGCACAAAAATATGACTAAAAATTAAAAAAAATGCAAAATAAAAGTTGCATAAAGGAATTCGTAGTTACATACTTCAAATGATATACCTATATAAAGCTACGTTTCACAATCACCAATAAAATGCACATTCCTACAAATTCACACCCCTATGAGAGATCGGTATAAACTTTTTCAAGGTCCCGACGATCGCAGACACTCGTCACAGCAAATGAAAATTCAGCTGCGGCTGACCGATTCGGTATATATATGGTATTAAATTATGTGCAGTCGCAGACTAGAAGGGTGCGCGTAATGGCGTAATATATAATATCATGTATATTATACTGCGTACGAGTCGCGTCCGCCAATCTCTCTCGATGTCTCTCCCTCTCGCGGCAAAGTCGTTTTTATTTTTACGTCCACCGCGTCGTCGTCGTCGTAAATAAATAAATAATAATAAAAATAATCATAATATGTACCATTATACGACATCATCCCCGTCGGGGATTACACGCCGAGAGTCACCCTGCACCCCCACGGGGAAGCAGATGATGAGAAATGCAGCGCGCTCACGTACAAGTGCTGCCGCGGAACACCGTCGCGGCGGGACGTGATGCATACGACTGCAACGACCGACGAGGGGTGTTTGGCGCGTGCATAATACTTTCAATATAGCCTCCCGCCCGCGTGACACGACGGCCGACAGCATTACGATGACGCCGACGACTGCAGCAGCGACCGGTGATCGGTAGTAATCGCGGCTCACGGCTCACTGTCTCAGTCAGTGCCGGTTCGGTTGACGCGTATGTCGTGCCGAGTGAGTGTGCGCACGAGATATATGAAAACGACAGTAACAACGTTTGCAATATTACTGTTATTATTATCATTCCTCATTAGATACCATATACCGTGCACAGGTTGCGACCGCGAATCGCACGTGCGCCGAGCCCAAATATTAATACTATCATAGACGGGGCCTGGAAACTATTTAGTGCAGTGCGCGCGCCTGCGCTTTTGCGTCCCACGTGTCTGCACGCGGCTCGCGCGACACGATCACAACACTATTGACCTTTGCCCGTTCATACCGGCCCCTCCATTTCTCGCGCGCGCGGCGCCTCCCCCGCAGAAGTAGCAGTAGTAGGCAGCGGTACGGAGCGTTTTGAATACGTCGCGCCAGTAACGCGCGCGCGTGGTGCGTGTACAGCGACAGTGCGCTATGCCCGTCGGGTACCCAACGTGTTCGTCAAGCCGTTTTTACGATTTACGTGATATCGTCGATATTACTTCTATACAATTGATTTTATTAATTAATTATTTCGATTAATTGTTGCCATCATAATTATTCGTAACACCGACCGCGGTACCGGACCATTTTATTTTATTTTCCCCGTCACGTGTGTCCCGGCCGTATTGAAGTCGCTCGATAAGGAACACACGGCTGCGGAGTGCTGGCGTTCACGTTCTTCCACTTACTACAACAATATATTATTATTTAATATTTCAATATTATTTAATAAGCTGTCGTCTCTGCTTCGCATCGGGCCAGCGGGTAAACTTCACAGTATATTATAAAACTATAATATTATCGTACCCACCCGCTTTCCACACTCGCGCGTTACCAAAATATTATCAAATTAATAATACTATTTCATTGGTGAGAGTTACATTAAAACGTGCCAACTGTAATAATCTTCTTGTTCTTCTTCTTTGAGTTCATTGGGCCCTTAAGACCATCACATCCTACAATTATAATGAAAATATTTTGCATTCCCAGTAGAGTTTTTCGCATAGTCCTTCAACTTCTTTCCGGGTGAGAACTCCACGCCGATTATTAAATAAATACCAAATTCTAAAAAATAAAAACATGATTCAATAATATTATGCCCATGAAACTAAAAATGTTATAGCTATATGTATGATGTTATTATTTTTTTGTGGAATACAAATTGACTAAATAATAGTGCAATTTTATGGAACTCCTGCAAATCACGCAAATTACAGTTTTTTACGAAAGGATGAAGGATATGGTTATAATTTGTCAATATTTCCTGTTTATATTATATTATAGCCGTTAGGTCTTTTTTAGATTCCAAACGCATTGGTTTTGCAAGGATGTATTTGTTTTTTTAAACTATATGTGTGTAAAATAATGAATAATAATATATAATACATAATATAATAGGTGGTACATAATATTATATTATACAGATGTTAGAACTAATGACGACTATGAAATATATCACACTGAGGTAGCTGAGATTTGCAATATTCAATCACACGGAGCTGCGCCCCTCCCTCCCACACAAACCTCTATGCTCATCCCCGGTTGTCTGAAACTTGTATAATATATGTATATTATATAAACCAATTTACATCTGTAGACTGTATACCCCGCTACCACCAATATTTTTATATACTTTGCATTAAGATTATGGCCGTGTCAATATATTATATAAATATTACTATTGCTATCGTACGCATAAGTTTCAGATTTGGTTTTTTTTACGATAGTTCGCGTTGATTTTAAAACGAATAAAAATGAGATTTCGTCAATTTTGGCGGTCGCGGTTTTTTCTTTCATCCGTTATTTGATTAATATCGCACTGGCTGCGTTGACAACTACATTTATCTATACTTTTTTCATCTGAATCATTTACTTTGAGTCTTGAGACGGCATATATACTGTATGGTGTATGGATATTAACTTTTCATAATATAATTATTATTTATTACTGCATTGTCATAGTGTACCTATACCAAATCGAAAGAACGAGAAATGGGAACATTATATTATCATTTTTTACTTACAAAACGCGTGACGTACAGTTTACTACACAATAAGTTTTTATTAGGAAAGTGTATATAATTTTTCATTTCTGGTAATATCGTCTGTTTAAATAATTACATTCAATTTATGATCGTCATGTTGAAGCAGTCGACATAATGAGCACAAACCACGCAAGAAAGTTTGATTGAGCGTCGCAGCTCTTAAAGTTGAAAATATTTCTATATCTATTTTATTTTTGTGACTTGTTTTTTATACGCACAGTTGGATCATTTATTTACATTTCGTTTGTGATATTTTTTCTTTAAACAATTTGTCAATTTAAATTGTATTGAAAAATAGTAGGCACTTTCAAAAATCGACGAATATTCTTAATTCGTTTGAATAGTTTGTGGTTTTCTTCATGTTCGACATCATAACTTCGACATCATCATACGTAAAAATTTCTCGTACACCTACATCGATTTGATAATTTGTAATGACTAATGACTAATGAGCAATCTAAATTATAAATCACATATTAATACATTTATAATTTAATACATATAGATAATATCTATTAGATATAAGTATAATATATAGAGTAAACAAACATTATTATACACTACTATATTAGTATGCAAGTATATTTAAATGTTCAGAATAATAAATAAATTTGGCCATCTTGAAAATATTGACTAAAACTTAAATTAGACAAATATGAGGCGTTTTACTGTGTATTTACTATTTACATTTGTTAAATTCGTATTTTATGCCAAGGCTTGTATATTATATTATTATGGCAACAAGCCACCCTTTGGTTATAAAACATTTTAAATGTACTCTAAACGATTGCTATTTTTCAAATAGATTATGCCCTTAGAATAAAAAATTACATTCGAATCTGTGTTATGTCATATGTGTAGCGTAAATAATTAATAAATATAAACCAGGGCTTAAAACCGTTTACCGGTTTTATTTGCAGTATGGAAAGCGGATATCGGTAATCGATTACCAAAAGTTTATAAAGTCGTATACCAAAAATCAATTATCAACATTTTTGAAAATCGTTCATTTAGCGATACCCGGTTACCATTATAATGCAGAAAAGATTTTTTTTGTTCCAATTACCAATTATTTATTGTTATTTCAGTTTATATTTTATTTGTAGAAAAATATTTGCCTGTTATATTGAACTTATAAGTGTATGATATAATTATATATTATACACAATCACAAAGTCAAAATATACGTATACCGGGTACACGCCATGCGCCAATACCTACGTCATACGGGTAATACTAATATGTTTATGAATTTATGATGTATACTAAAAACAATATATTTATAGCTGTGCTGATTAGTGATTATTTCATATTACTGGTATTCCTCTATTTTACCGTTTCTCGTAATACAGTAATTCGTAATTCGTAAATGCATTTTGTCTATGTTGCGCGCGTGGGCCAGATAGAGAAAACAAATGGTGCGCCGACATCCTCTTAAGACTAGTTAAGAGTATATACAAATATACTATATATAGATATATCTTAGTCCGTATTATAAGCACATTATAAATAATTCGTAATTGATAAGTGATAACAAAAAATATTTTGTGAAAAACGGTATTTAAACTGGTTAAAACTTAAAATCGGTAAGCGGTTATTTACACATTTCATAAACCGTTAAAAATCGGTAACCGGTAGCCACTACATTATTCTGGAGTAAGGTAACCTGTAACTGGTTAACAACACTTCTTAGAACAAGAAAACTGGTAAACGGCTACCAAAAAATGTTCGGCTCCTACCGGAGCCGATTACCCATAATTTCAGAAACGGTTTTAAGCCCTGATATAAACTATGAAGTGCCACAAAAAAAGAAGATATTTTAAAAATATAAATGTGATTTCGAGACCCTGCAGTTGTCCTTGAATACAATACATATAAAACGACATTGTTTGTATTAATTAGAGTCAACCTTTAATTGACTGCACAGTAGTTAAATCGATACCGCTACGTAACACTTTTAATGTTGATACCTGCAGGTTATATAGTTATATTATTTGTACAAACAATTTTTAGGAAATTTCTCCCATCAACTCCCGCGAGTGATTAAATCCAAGTGACTTTTTAGGAAGTTAATATTGTCCAATATTAAATTGTTGTTGGTTTATTAGAGCGATACCAATGTGCCATGTCCTTTAACACCACGTGACCGAGCGACAGATTGAAAGTGAAAAATGGAAGGAGTGTGAAGGGGGGATAACAAAAGTCCCTCTCTGAATAGTCAATGATTTTTTTACACATCGCCCATAGAAGTATTTGTAAGCAGTGAATGTGAAATGTGAAATGCGGTCACCCTCTCTTGTTTATCGGACAGGATGCAATTACCCAAAAGTAGTACATTACGTGCCGCGGCAAGTGTTGGTTTGATCGTGGATTCATGTATATATGTTGGTTCTCAGTCAAGTCTAATCAAAAAGACAAAAATGTAGTACAAACTTATACAAAATTCAAAAGACTACACAAGAAAAACGTTTTTTGATCTCATTTTAACAGATAATCGTTAATAATATTCAAAATATTTAATTGTATGTGAATATTAAACTAGGTCAAGCAATTGACTGTTCACCGCACTCACCCTAAACCTCTATATTTCATTTTAAAAATCGAATTCCTCAAATAACGTCTCAAATTGTGAACTTGGGACAGTTCTGTAATAAAGCACGCCGTGGAACGAAATATACCACAGCACGTATTATTCGCAGAGCTCAAAGGAATACCTCAAAACTTCAGCTTCTTGCCTGGACTTTTAAATTCGTCCCTCCAATTACGAAAGAATATTTATATCAGAAATATAATGGACACCAATGATAAAAAATAATTAATTGATCAACTTAAAAAATCCGTTATAATTTTGTTATTGTATGCTAATTCACAGTAGATATTTTATTTTTATTGAGTTTTATACTTTAATTATTAAAATCGCTGATGACTATAAAAATCAAAATCAAATTATAATTTATTACGTCGCTTGGATGGAAAAAGGTATCGAGTTCTGTACTTTATAATGAATCTATATTATAACACTGCAATTGTATTTAAATTGTTTTAGTTTTCCTACTTTGTACTTAAGTATTATTATTTATCGTAAAATAATTATACATTTATACGTCATGCATAAATAAATTCAAAGTCATTTGATTATACATAGCTATAATATTACCTATATAATACATTATATTATATTATATTATATTTTTACAAACATCTTTTGTGTCGTTCATCGTTTTTTTTTTTTCAAATTTGTATTATAATCCAAAATGTTCTCATAATCAATCAATTGGCAGCAGGCAGCAGCTGTTTCCTAGTAATGAATGACTTTAATAGTTGTAATAGTCGACCGTTGTTTTATAGTCATAGTCATATAATATATTAGGTATTGTTCGGTTTCCCCTATGGTGTACAATTTGTTATTGGGAATGTGTTAGGGAGTTTGGATTCCTTAAAGGCCTAAGCATTCGTTCAACCCTCACAAAGTCGATCGCCATTCAAGCTTACTGTCTACTGTCTAGGGTATGATAAAGAATATAATATCGTATTATTTAGGTATATTATAATGGGTGATGCCGTAATGGAATAAATGTATGTTGTATAATACGATATTATGCTTGTCTAATGTGTCTTTTTACTTGATATTTTTTTTAACCAAACTATATAATGTGTCAAACGCCATTATTTTCAATTTCTATATCGATTTTTTTTCTTACATATAAAAATACTTTTAAA